AGGATTGTCCGTTGTTTCAGGAGTTCCTCTTATCCAGTTTTCAGTTCTGTCTCAGGGGTAATTTTTCCACGAGTAGTTGTAAATTGGCTGTGTCCGCAGGAGGAGGTGAGTTCAGAGTCTGCCTACGTCACCATCTTGACTCCTCCTCTGCAGGAGCAGTTTTATAATCTAGAACCAAATGCCATTGATCTTATTTCTGATTTGGATGAAGCTGCTCTCAGTCTCTCCTCACTACACTTCACATTACCTAATTGATATGAACTTTATATCTTCAAGTTAGTTTTATGCATGTAGTTGAATATTTTTTTCTAGATGGCGTTGTTACATAGTGGCAAGTATATATTTGAAGCCAGGCAGATCTGTTTGAATCCTTGCTTTACCAATTCCTAGCTATATGACCTTATGCAAATAAATTAGTCTTTCTGAGTCAGTTCAGTTACCCCCTTTGTAAAAGGGGGACAATAGTACCTACCTAACATTTTATTGAAGGATTAAGAACAATGAGTGTAAAGGCCATAGTATGGTGCTTCATACATAGTAATCGCTAAATAAATGGTAGCTAGTAATTGTTGTTGTTATTATTATTCAGTGTGTATAGAAAATTACTCTCCGAGTAGATGTAGAGAAAACAAGGAAGAATCAAGAGTTATGGCTTCAAAGCTGGAGTCATATATTTGTCAGGAGCAGATTGTAACATGACAGCGTGAAAGACTCCATCTTTCCCTAGCTGCCTTTCCTTTCAGGAAGACCCACATCTATAGCCTGTAATTGGACAATGAAGAGTTAGGATGGAGTCCAGGAGCAGATGTTAGAAGCAGCACTGGTCCTGTTAGGTCCTGACTGAGCTCAGCATGCTTATATGTGAGTGAGAGGGGCTGGCTGTCAGTTAAAGGGTGATAGTGACTCAAAATTGGATAACAACCATATGATGCCAATAGTTACGACTCCTGCTGCTCTCTGTGTGAGGAGATTTGCTCTTGATTCAGATTCCCATGGCTCGTCGGGAATAGAGAGGGCTTATTTGATATGCACACCAGGATGTGTGTATGTGTTGGGGTGGTGGTGAGTGTCTTTTAGCTGGGCTCCTGCTGTGATTGACTCCTCACAAATAAAACAAATGTGCATGTTGCTTGGCTCCCTTTTAATGTCTCTGTGAAACAAGATAGATTCTAATTCTTCTTGCCTGGGACCACATCCTGGCTGAGCTTCTGGTGTGTCACATCTGCTTCTCTGTGTGTGTCTGTCTGCCTCTGTACTTGTCAGCAAAATTCATCAGTGGAGGGAAGAACTGAAATGAAAGTAGCTTCTGCAGTTGCAGCTCTATTGCTGACTTTGGCTGGGCCTGGCTAAGTAGGTTATGCCTGGATTGGGCTGTTCTTCCATGGAGGCAGAGTAGGTGATGTTCTTTGGATTAAGTTATTAAGGACTCTCGTTAACATTTATTGATTACTTCATCTGTGCAAGATTCTATACTGAATGTTAACAAATTATCTCATTTTAAACCTCAGAAGACTACTATGATGTAGGTGCTGTTATTGCCCAATTTTATAGGTGAGAAAACTGAGGCTTACCTTAGGTGATTTATCCAAGGGCACACAGCTAAAAAGTGGCATTCAGTCATTCAGTGAGGTTTTTTTTTAGTTTCTTTTATGCACCTGCTACTGTTCCAAGTGGTAGGGATATAGCAGAAAACAAAAGAGACAAATATTCTTGCCCTCATGGATCTTACATTTCTAAGGGTAATAGACAAACAAATAAAAATAGAAATGTATGTTATATAGTGATGAGTGCTAAGAAGAAATATGAAGCAGAGAAAGGGTACAGGGAGTATGTTTGTAGGACTGCAGTTTAGAGAGGGTGGTCAGAAAAGGTGTCACTAGGAAGGTGACATTGAGTAGAGCTCTGAAGGAGGTGAGAGAGTGAGCCATGAGAATATCTGCAGGGAAGAGAATTCCAGGCAAAGGGAACAGAAATTTCAAAGACCTTGATGCAGGAATATTCCTGGCATGATCAAGGAACAACAAAGAGGTTGATGTAATTGGAGCAGAGTGAGCAGAGGGGAGAGTAGGAGATAAGATCAAAGAGGTAACAGCGGCCCAGGTTGTACAGGACCTTGTAGCCATTGTAAGGATTTGGCTTTTACTCTGAGACTGGAGGGTGTGTGCAGAGGAGTGATATGATATGACTAGGATCAACCTCTATCTGTTATATTGAGAATAAACCAGGGTTAGTGGGCTCTAGCAAGGAGGAAGAACTCACTATGTGATTTGTCCAAAGAGTAAATCTTTGAGTTCAATTCAATAAACACTGAATGCCGGGTTGGATCCAGTGTTTGTGGGGCATGAGGCTTTATATAGCTCTGAGAGCCTTCCTTTTTTTTTTTTTTTTCAAAATTTTCATTGCAATTTTTTTTTTAGTTGGGGTAACATTAGGAGCCTTCTTTAAGTGAAAGAATTCAAAAATAGTTATGAAAGTGAGTTTTTTAAATAAAAACAAAGGGGGACCAGGAAAGGGTCTGTGCAAGTAAGGGACTCTGAAGCATAAGCTTCTTTAGCTTCACAAGTAACTCTGCCTCTGAGTGAATAACTATGTACCAGACTCTATGCTAGGCCCTGAGAACAAAGAGATGGATAAATCACAGTGATTAGACTTAACACCCGGACTATTGTAAAGCCTTCTACCTGGCTTTCCCTATCTCCTTCTCTTTCTGTCTGCCCACCATACGACTAGATTTATTTTCCTGAATCACTGCTCTATCACTATGATGCTCCCCTTTTAAAAGCGCCTCATTGGCTTTCTATAGTGGCTTTCCATTGCCTGAAGGTGTTCTTATATTCTATAAGGCATCAGAATCAGTTTGGGGAGGGGGCAGAGGTGCTTGTTCAAAATGCAGGTTCCCTGGCCCCAGCCCTAAACCTACTGAACCAGAGTCACTGGAGTGGGGGGCCTGTAATTCATTTTAAACAGTCTCTCCAGGTGATTCTGACGCAGATGGCTACACTTTAGTAGTAGCTAGCGGGCTAAGGCCAAAGCTCCTTAATATAGGATATCAGTCATGATCTTGAAGCAGCTGCATCTTTCCTATTCTTCAACATAGACCCTCGATTCTAGCCACTGTCCCCCAAACATGCTTTACACATTCTTGACTCTATAGAGCTTTTGATCACTTTGTTCCATCTGGCTGAAATGCCCTTTCTCTCCTCACTGCCTCTCCAAATCTTAGCTATTCCTTAAGTCTAATCTCTTTCTTAGTGTCTTCTCTGACCCAATAGCCCACAGCGTCCAAACTCCCAGAGTACTCATCAGCAATCTTGTCTTTTTTATTGCATTTTTTTAAACTTCTCAGGCATGTCTGTTATCTCAACCAGACCATAAACTCCCTCAGGGTAGGGTCTATTCCTTTAGTGTTTTGTATCTCCCAAGGGCCTTGCCCAGTACTGAGCAGGAGGAAAAACAAAAGAAGGAGGCAGGAAAGAGTGTTTATGCTCATAATGGACCATATTTCTTGCCCTTTATATTCTCATTTGGTAGAGCATAACAAATTCCCAAACAACTACTTTTCAATGAACAACACAGATTTGGTTCATAAATACAGGTTCCAAAAATACATTGAAGATAAAAACCTCTTTGGCTCAGATTCTGTTGTCGCAGGAAGGTATTTGGTGATATACTACTGGATACTGGCTGCTGTTTTAGTGAATATTTCAGGAATCAATTTATTCAATGCTATGATTTTTACATTTTTATCCAAGGTTTTATTTCATGTTTTGTTGCTCTTAAAGGAGTTTATGTGCATGCTGAAATAGTGTACTCCTAGGATATTTGGAAATGAAACACCACCACCAAAGTAGACCTAGAGATTGCGTTGGGGTCTGCTAATGATTATGACATCATACTTACCAGAGTTTAAGATGATGGTTCCAGAGTCACTCTCTCATTAGCATGTCTAGGCAATAAGGAATATAATATATACATTTTTAAAGGAGGACAAACCTTAGTCACGGTTTAATAAGCCATGGTCAGGCAATGAGATTGTAATCTTGCTGGAAGTGGAGTTTATGGAGCCTTGGTTTTTCTATTTGTAGAGGAGAGGCAGCATAGTTTAGTATAATGATTTTCAAGCTGTTTTCCAGAGTCTAGGGGTTCTACAGAGTTGCTCTGATGGCCACTGAGGGAAGAGTCTGGTGGTTAGGGCTGATATTTTTGTAAGAGAGAAGTATTTTTCAAATTTCATTTGGCTTCTGTCCGTATCACAAAAGGTAGAACTAACCGTGGTAAGAGGGAATCCAATGTCAAGAGAAAAGATGATCTTGTGAGCTCAAGTCTCTGGCCCAGATAGCTTATGTCCCAGAGGACTTATTCACAGATGGGATTATAGCACTGCTGTTAGGGGTCTTAAAGGAATCATGAAAATGGACTAGGTCTGTAAAGAAACTGGGAGAGGAGCAGATATTGTCCTGATTTTCAAAATGGAAAAGGTGGATTCTGTGAACCATAGACTCATCAGCTCAACTTCTATTATAGGTTATTTTAAAACAGATTATTAAGAAGACAGTTATCAGTCAGGGTCCCAACAGGAAATGAGGATACATTCAAAACGATTAAAAGAAAAGAGTTTAATAACTGTTTACAGACATGTGGGGCAGAGTTAAGAGACCTACAAAAGTGGCAGTTTCATGTGGTTCAACTTAATAGAACAAAAGCTAGTGTAACTAGACCAGAATGAGTAAGGGAGTGAGAGGTATGCAGGGGCCAGTTATGTAGGACCTTGTGGCCATGGTAAAGTCATGGAAAAGTAGTTTGGAAAATGTAATAGAAAGCCATCATCTCATTTCAAGTAGGGGAGTGACATGATATGGTTGCTGAGTGGAAAATAGACTGTAGAGGGGAAAGAGTGGAGGCAGGGAGACAAAAAGGAGGCTTTTGAAGTAAGTGGCGATGTTTTAGTCTAGTATTGTTATAGAGGAAGAGATAGAGATAAGTAGAAAAATTTAGCATGTAATGTGTAGGTAGAATCAATAAGTCCTTTTGATGGATTGTGTGAGAAGAGGGAAAGAGACGATAAATTAAGGATGCCTAATTTTTTTGCCTTGACCAGTCAGATGGAAGGTGATGCCATTTATAGAGAGAGGGAAGACTGGTGGAGAAGCATGTTTGGGGGAATTCAAGTAGTCATGAAATAAGTGCTAACATAATAACATCTTTTACTTCTGTCATAAGGTTTCTGGACACAGTTATCAGATATGGGGAACTCTATATGCCAAGATTTCTATGTTCTATAGATTGGCATTCCACATAATAAAGGTGTTTTATGGAACAATAAGTTATAAAATACTGTGCTCAACAAAGTTGTCTTTTTGTGTGTGTGTGTGTGTGTGTGAGGAAGATTAGCCCTGAGCTAACATCTGATGCCAATCCTCCTCTTTTTGCTGAGGAAGATTGGCCCTGGGCTAACATCCGTGCCCATCTTCCTCTACTTTATATGGGATGCTGCTACAGCATGGCCTGACAATTGGTGCATCAGTCTGCGCCCGGGATCCAAACCTGTGAACCCCAGGCCGCCAAAGTGGAGTGTGAGAACTTGACCCTTATGCCATCAGGCCGGCCCACAAAGTTAAGTCTTTTTTTCTTTAACTGGAGTACTTTTTAGAGACTTTGATAGGCTACCATAGATTGTGAAACTCCCAAAGGGAAGTATCCTGGGTTTCCCAAACTTATTTGGTCATAGAATCTTTTAATTTTTAATTGACAACTTTGAGGGTTCTGGAAATGCTACTGTAGATATGATTTGTCTGCAAATGTATGATGTACCCAGATCTCAGCAGAGAATCTGGCAAAGTCTTTCATGACATTTCTGTGGAGAAGATGGACAATTATGGATTAGATGATATACATTTGGAAGCTTAGTTACTGATTAAAATACCAGGAATTATGAAGGTTAATGCAACGTTTCTTCACATCAGCATTACTTGGGGAGCTTTTTCAAAGTACTGCATCTCAGTCTAGACCTACTGACTCAGAATCTCTGGTGCTGTGCCCAGGAAAATATACTGAAAAAGTTTCCTCAGATGATTCTGATGCAAGGCCCTGGTTAAGACTCACTGATATTAGAAAGAGCCTGAGCCTAGAGCCAAAAATTTAGATGAGAATATTTGTTTATCATTTGTTGATTCTTGATTGGATAAGTTCCTTAAGTACTCTGAACCTTAGTTTCCTCACCTGTAAAATAGGAAATAATAATGCCTAATTTGTAAGATGACAGAGAAGATTAAATGAGGTAAATTATAATAATAACAACAATAAATACCATTTATTAAGGGGATTACTATGTTTCAGGCACCATGCTAACACTTTCATACATCATAACATTCTTTCCTTGGGTGAATTCCAGGATGAGGCTTGGGGTCAAGGGACTGGCCAGAGCAAGAGGAGTGATAGAGACTAAAGTTCTAAATTAAGAACTAAGTAGCTGAAGAGAGCTGTGACTTGAGAGGAAAAAGGGAAACTTAACAGTCACACTAGAGAACTTTATGGTTACAGCAATAGAGATCATGGCCTTAGGATCTGGGTTTGAATCCCAGTTCTGCCATCAATTTTCTGAGTGTCCTTGTGCAAGGAACTTGCTCTTTGTAATTTTATTTCCTCATCTGTAAAACAAGTATGAAAACAGTACCTCCCTCATAGAATGTTGTAGTGAGAATTAAATGAGTTAATGTATGTAAAGCATCTGGCAGGCAGTGGAATTTTAGGAAACTGTAGCTAGTATTAGTAATGGGGCACAGGGATTCAAGGTTTTGTAGAGTGACTATTCTTAAGCCTCACTGGGGGTGAGTGGACAAGTGGAGAGAAGAGGACAGGAATAGATGGACCAACACATTTAATCCTGCTTGCCTCTAGTCGAAATAAGTCTAAATTAGGACAAGACTGAGCCTTAGGATGGGGCAATCAATGAGGCTAACAATGTGGTGGTAGGGAATGTACAAGTAGAGGAATGAAGCAGAGGTTGACAATCCTAGTTCATGGTTAAGCCCACCATGAAGTAGGACGTTTTGAACCGGCAGATTTGATACAGGGGACTTTATTTTTTTTTTTACTTTTTGTTTTGAAATAATTAAAGATTCACAGGAAGATTAAAAATTAGTACAGAGAGGTCCTGTATAGCTTTCACCCAGTTTCCTCCAATGGTTAAATCTCAAATAACTACAATAAAATATTAAAACCAGAAAATTGACATTGGTGTAACGTGTGGGTATAGTTTTATGCCACTTTATCACATGTGTAGATTCTTTGACTACAACCACAATCAAGATGCAGAACTATTCTAGCAACACAAAAATCTCCATTGTGCTACCTCTGTATAATCACACCCACTCCCATCCCATATAGTACCTCTTACCTCTGGCAACCACTAATTCCCCATCTCTATAATTTGGCATTTTGAGAATTTTATATAAATGGAATTATATGTAACCCTTTGAGATTGGCATTTTTACACTCAGCATAATTCCTTTGTGGTCTATCCGATTTATTGCATGTATCTACTTCATTTGTTTTTATTACTGAGTAGTATTCCATGGTATGAATATACCACAGTCACCTATTGAGAGAAATTTTGATTTTTTTCTGGTTTTTGAGAATTACAAATAAAGCTGCTATGAACAATTGTGTATAGGTTTTTATGTGGACCTAAATTTTCACTTCTCTGAGATAAATGATGAGGAGCGCAATTGCTGAGTGTATGATAAGCATATGTTTAGTTTTTTTTTTTTTTTTAAACTACCAACTATTTTGCTGAATAGCTGTATCATTTTACATTCCCAATAGCAAAGGATGAGAGATACAGTTTCAACTTATCCATACCAGCATTTGGAATTGTCATGATTTTGGAGGGGGGATGTTGCCTTATTTTATTTATTTATTTTTAAGGTTTTATTGTGATAATTCACACACCATAAAGTTCACCCATTTAAAGTTTATAACTATGTTTTTAGTATACTCATAAGTGTGTAGTGATATCTCATTATGGTCTTAATTTGCATTTCACTAATTGCTAATGATCTTGAATATCTTTTCATTTGTTTATCCATATATCCTCTTTGGTGAAGTGTCTTCTTTTTTTCCTTGTCAGTTTTGCTAGAGTTTAGTCAATTTCATTGATCATTTCAAATAACCACCTATTTGTTTCATTTTTTTTCTCTACTATTTCTCTGTTTTCAATTTCATTGACTTCCACTTGTCATTTCCTTCCCTTTGCTTGCTTTGGGTTTACAGTCATCCCTTGGTATCTTCAGGGAATTGGTTCCAGGACTCCTGGCAGATACCAAAATCCATGAATGTTCAAGTCCCTTAGTCAGCCTTCTGTATCTGCAGGTGTGGAACCTGCGGATACAGGGGGCCAACTGTATTTTGTTTCTAGTTTCTTAAGTTAGAACTTTAGGATATTGATTTGAGACTTTTTCTCTTTTCTAATATAAGCATTTAGTGCCATAAATTTGTCTCTCAGCACTTCTTTAGCTGTATTCCTCAAAGTTTGATGTGTTTATTTTCATTCAATTCAGTGTATTATTTTATTTCCTTTGAGACTGATTCTTTGACTTATGGATTATTTAGAAGGATATTGATTCTTTTTCAAGTGTTTGGAGATCTTCCTGTTATCTTTCTGTTATTAATTTCTAGTTTGATTTCAGAGTAGTTGGGCAACATACTCTGTATGATTTCAATTTTTAAAATTTGTTCAGTTGTTTTTGGCACAGGGTATGGTCTATCTTGGTATATGTTACATGTGATGTGAAAGAACATATATTCTGTTATTGACTGGTGTGTTCTATAAATGTCAGTTAGACCCTGTTGGTTGATGGTGTTGTTGAAATTTTCTCTATCCTTGCTGATTTTCTCTCTAGTTCTGTCAGTTTTTGAGAGAGGTGAGTTGAAGTCTTCAATTACAATTGTTTGTCTGTTTCTCCTTTCATTTCTATCAGTATTTGCTTCACATATTTTGCAGCTCTGTTGTTTGGGGCACAAACATTGGGATCGCATTGACATCTTGATGGACTGAAACTTTTTGATTACATAATGTCCTTCTCTCTATCTCTGATAATTTTCATTGCTCTGATCCACTTTATTTTATGTTAATATAGCCACTCTTGCTTTCCTTTGTTTGATGTTTGTATGATATATTTTTTCTATCCTTTTACTTCCAACCTGCATATATTCAATTTGAAGTGAGTTTTTTTTGTACAACTTATTATTGGGCATATGTTTAACCTACCCTGCCACTTTCTGTCTTCTAATTTGTATATTTAGACCATATAAATTTAATGTAATTATTGATACGTTAGGGCTTAAATGTAACATTTTTTTTTGTTTTCTGTTCCCTCTGTTCTTCATTTCTGTGTTTATTTTTCCCGTTTTCTTTTGGGTTACTCATACCTTCTTTAGAATTCTGCTTTGATTTATCTATATTATTTATATCAGCTTTATTGAGACACAAATCACATGCCATACAATTCACACTTTTAAAGTACACAATTCAATAGATTTTAGTATATTGAGTTGTGCAACCATCATCACAATCAATTTTCATCACCCCCAAAAGAAACCCTGCATACCTCTAAACCCCACTAGCCCTAAGCAACCACTAATCTACTTTTTCTCGCTCTATATGTGCCTATTCTGGACCTTTCATATGAGTGGAATCATATAATATGTAATCTTTTGTCACTGCCTTTTGCTTAACATGTTTTCAAAGTTCATCCATGTTGTAGCACGTGTCAGTACTTCATTCTTTTTATGATTGACTAATATTCTATTATATGGATATACCACATTTATTTATCCATTCATCAGTCGATGGACATTTGAGTTGATCCCACCTTTTGGCTATCATGAATAATGCTGCCATGAACTTTTATGTGCAAGTTTTTGTGTGGACGTGTTTTCCTTTCTCTTCGGCAAATACTTAGAAGTAGAATTGCTTGCTCAAATGGTAACTATGCTTAACTTTTTGAGAAATTGCTAGACTCTTTTCCAAAGTGGCTGCACAGTTTTATATTCCCACCAACAGTGTATGAGGGTTATGACTTCACATCCTCACCAAACTAATTCTAATTACCTTTCTTCTTTCTTTTCTTCTTTTTTTTTTTTTTTTTGTGAGGAAGATCATCCCCGAGCCAACATCCATGCCAATCCTCCTCACTTTGCTGAGGAAGACCGGCTCTGAGCCAACATCCATGCCAATCCTCCTCACTTTGCTGAGGAAGAACATCCCCGAGCCAACATCCATTGCCAATCCTCCTCCTTCTTTTCCCCAAAGCCCCAGTAGATAGCCGCATGTCATGGTTGCACATCCTTCCAGTTGCTGTATGTGGGACACCACCTCAGCATGGCCAGACAAGCGGTGCATCGGTGCGCGCCCGGGATCCAAACCCGGGCGGCCAGTATCGGAGCGTGAGCACTCAACTGCTAAGCCATGGGGCTGGCCCACCTTTCTTCTTTTTTTAATATAGCCATCCTGGTAGGTATGAAGTGGTATCTCATTGTGGTTTTGATTTATACTTTCCTTATGACTAATGATATTGAGCATTGTTTCATGTGCTTAATGGCCATACATACATCTTCTCTAGAGAAATGTCTGTTTAGATCCTTTGCTCATTTTAAAATTAGGTTGTCATTTTATTGTTTAGTTGAAATAGTTCTTTATCTATTCTAGATATGAGTCCCTTATCAGGTATATGATTACAAAAATTTTCTGCCTTTCTGTGGGTTTTCTTCACTTTTTAGATCGAGTCCTATGAAACACAAAAGTTTTCTTAAAAATTTTTATGAAGTCTAGTTTACTATTTTCTTTTTTGTTACTTGCATTTTTGGTGTCATATCTAAGAATCTGTTAGACAAATCCAAGGTCATGAATATTTACTCTTATGTTCTTTTCTAAGAGTTTTATAGTTGTGACTCTTACATTTAGGTTTTTGATCCATTTTGAATTAATTTTTGTATATTGTGTGATGTAGGGATCTAACTTCATTCTTTTGTATGTGGTTATCAAGTTGTCCTAGCATCATTTATTGAAAGGCTATTCTTTCCTCATTAAATTTTATTGATGCCTCTGTTGAAAATCAATTGACCACAGATACATGGGCTTATATCTGGACTCAATTATATTCTATTGATCTATATGTCTATCCTTATGCCACTACCATACTCTCTTGATTACTGTTGCTTTGTAGTAAAATTTGAAATCAGGAATTGTAAGTCAAACTTTGTTCTTCTTTTCTAAGATTATTTCGGTTATTCTGGGTTTCTTGAGTTTCCATAGGAGTTTTAGGATCAGTTTGTTAATTTCTACAAAAAAGCCAGTTAGAATTTTGATACAGATTATAAGGAATCTTTGGATTAATTTGGGGAGTATTGCCATCTTAGCAATATTAAGCCTTCCAATCTGTGATGGTTAATTTTATTTATCAACTTGGCTAGGCCACAGTACCCAGATAGTTGGTCAAATACTAGTCTGGATGTTGCTGGGAAGATACTTTTTAGATGAGATTAATGTTTAAATCAGTAGACTAAATAAAGCAGCTTGCCCTCCATGATGTAGGTGGACTTGATCTAATCAGTTGGAGGCTTTAAGAGAAAAGAGACTGACAACCCCAGAAGAAGAGGGAATTCTGCCAGCAAACTTCCTTCAGACTCAAGCATCAACTCTTCCCTGGGTCTCCAGCCTATTTAGCACTTCTTTTGTTAAATGTATTCCTAAGTATTGGATTCTTTTTCATGCTATTGTAAATGGAATTGTTTTCTTAATTTCATTATCAGGTTGTTCATTGCAAGTATATAGAAATACAATTGGTATTTATTTTTATTTTATTTTATTATTTATTTATTCATCGAGGTCACGTTGGTTTATCCTATTATATAAATTTCAGGTGTACATCATTATATTTTGACTTCTGCTTAGACTGCATCGTGTTCACCACCAAAAGTCTAGTTTCCATCCATCACCATACACATGTGCCCCTTTACCCTTTTTGCACTCTCCCCACCCCCTTTCCTTCTGGTAACCACCAATCTGTTCCCTGTATCTATATGTTTGTTTATCTTCCACATATGAGTGAAGTCATATGGTAATTGTCTTTCTCTGTTACTCATTTTGCTTAGCAAAATAAGCTCAAGGTCCAACCACCTTGTTGCAAATGGCAAGATTTCATGTTTGTTTATGGCTGAGTAGTATTCTCTTGTGTGTGTGTGTGTGTGTATATATATCTCACATCTTCTTTATCCATTCATCTGTCAATGGGCACTTAGGTTGTTTCCATCTTGGCTATTGTGAATAATGCTGCAATGAACATAAGTGTGCGTGTATCTTTTTGAATTAGTGTTTTTGTGTTCTTTGCATAAATACCCAGAAATGGAATAGCTGGATCATATGGTATTTCTATTTTTAATTTTTTGAAGAATCTCCATACTGTTTTCCATAGTGGCTATACCAATTTACATTCCTACCAGCAATGTATGAGGGTTCCTTTTTCTCTACATCCTCTCCAGCACTTGTTATTTCTTGTCTTTTTAACGATAGCCATTCTGACGGGCATGAGGTGATATCTTGCTGTAGCTTTGGTTTGCATTTCTCTAATAATTAGTGATGTTGAACATCTTCTCATGTACCTGTTGGGTGTTTATCTTCTTTGGAAAAATGTCTGTTCATATCTTCTGCCCGTTTTTTGATTGTGTTTTTTTTTTTTGTAGTTGTCGAGTTTTATGAGATCTTTATATATATTGGATGTTAATTCCTTATCAGATATA